AGTGCAAACCCCGCCGTTCATTTTGGACAGTCCTCAGCGAAAGCTCTCCTCGCAACTGACACCACAAGCATGAAGCCAGTGCGTGGGAAGCTTGGCATGCTTGAGACATTGTGCCTGCGCTTTTCTAACCAAATCAGTCCCAACCAAAACGAATCGTGCTCCACATAGCAAGCCCTCTTTGCGACCACTTCTTTGCTCCTTCTTTACACAACAAGCCCTTTTTGCGACCCCTTCGTTGCTTACCTAGTGCCGAAACCCCTCTGAGGGCTGTGCCAGTTGTTGCTCGATGCCCACACGGACCTCGTCCCTCGAGCGCCGACGCCTCGAAGCCGCGAGGCGCCGCCGCCCCAAAGCTGGGCGCGACAGGCGGATCCATCCGGCGAGCTCATCGGGTTTGAGGCAGCCCTTTTGTTGGGAGTGGCCCGAAGGGGCAATGCCAAGCAGACGAAACGTATTTGGGGGGGTCGTTTTTTCGTTCTTTTTTTTTTCCCCGGCTGAAGGACTGAAGGAGCCTCTGAACAGATCAGAGGTCAGATGCCGGAGGGTTCTGAGGTCTTGAGCGGTTGCTGAGGTTTCCGAGGTTGCGGACTTCTGCTTGACAGGTGAAAATTTGGTTGCCAGGTCAGGGTGCCATTTCGTCAGAGTGGGGGCTCGCAAAGTCCTCGTGCTAGTGACAGCTCCCAGAGTTTCACTGCCATTGAAACACCGCACGCCTCTGAACGTGGCAGTGTGAAAGGGCCTTCATGCTGGGAACTAGCTTCCGGCTCAGCTTGGGCAAGACACGATTATTAGAAGGAGCTCTTTTTTTGTTTGGGGAGGGGGACACCGGAACAGCCATCCAATGACTTTCAATAGAAGCCCACCACAGACTACTTATCTAAGATTACAGGCTTCCATGGAGCTGGTTCCGTGGAGCTGGTGTCTTGGGGTTTCCTAAGCTGCCAAGTGAGGCGACTCGCAGTTTGTGCCCGGCAAACGCACAGACGCAGCCCAGTCCAACGCCGCGAATCCGCGCTTTGCAGTGCACAATCCCACGTCTCCAGATTTCCCCCGCCGGCGAAGCCTTGCTTAAATACCTGGGGAATTGCTTGAAGCGAAGTGAGCGGTCAATATTCATCGCACTACGCGGTGTTTCCGACTTCTGCTTTTTAAAGTGGTGAGGGTCAGTTACCAACCTCCAGTCACTTGGGATCAGCATGTTTGTCGATGGCTTAAATGGTAAGAGGACTCTGCTTGGTTTCGAAGCCTTCGAACGGCCAGGCGGGCAGTTCCTCCATGCCCAGCTTTCTGGGCAGGTGAAGGCAAGCGGAACTTCGCCTCGGGCGGACATGTTGATGTTGTGCATCGTTTCCCCAGTTGCCCAGTGGGTTGCTTCCTTTTCCAACTTGTTTTGGGAAGGGTTCCGATTCCTTTACGGTCAACCAACCAAACATTTTGGCTGGTTTTAAAAAAGGATGCCTTTTTCCCCATGGCCGCTGTGCATCTGAGTTTCATAGAACGTCCTCGGCAAGCAACACATAGATGAGCATGTTCATGAGCAGTATTGTCGGCATTGGTTTTGTGATTTGCTTCTTGGCTATTGGCTGTTTGAGTACTGATGCTGATTTGCGTGATGTATTGGTTTATGTATTTGTGTTTTTTGTTGCTTATCTATTGATGTGTTTGTTATTGTTTAGTTATTTTATTGCAGTGTATACACATCATTACATGATTTGGTGTTTGATCAAGCCATAGTTAGATCACGTATTCATACATAGACAATAATGTATATATTATGTCTGGATCAATCTTGTATTTGTGTTGGTCATGATTTCTCCGTTTATCTAATGCCGTCGATTCATTTGTTCCGGAGTGTTTCCATGGGATGCATCCAAGCACAGGGCTATGTTGTACCACCTTGTAATGCGGGTCTCCAAAAGGGTCACCATTTTGTCAGCTCACCATATAGCAAGCTCGTTTTGAGTTGGCCAATCTGCAAGTTGGATCCTACGTGACCCCGGAGTGAAGAAACAGCAGGCCAGTTCGTTGCCAAAGAGTTACCTCTTTTTTTCCCAAAAGGATGAGCCCACCGCTCATTTTCAACAGCCCAGATTGCTTTCGCTATAGATGCCTGCCATTTCATTCAGCAAGGGCGTCGTGGGACGGCGTGGTGGGACACTCTCTTCTCCGCGAGATGCCACTCAGAACACTTTCATTTCATATTGTTTCATATCCTTCTATGCATTCTACGACTCAATGCTTCACTTTCAACAAGTCTGGCGTGTCCGCCTTGTATTTCCTTGCATTCAGGGAGAGCGAATTCCAGGCGCACGCAAGACTAGATATCCTCATATGCCCTCATATTTGGATGGATGCGACCTCAGGGCTATGACTCTTTAACCTTTTAAGGAACTCCGTTCGCCTGAGTGCGGGCATACCGTTCGCAGGGCCGGCCGGGCGCTCAAGCACAAGCCCAGCTGGGCAGCGAAGATGTGAAGGCGGGAGCATGTGGGGCCACAGGGATCCGAATCCATGTCTTTCTTCCTTATTTGGGACCATGACACCTGAGACAGACCAGACTAAGACTCCCGCCAGTGGCCCGACTCCGATCGCGGCGATATACCAGACCCAGACTGTGAGGCTCCGACCAATGAATGGCCCGACCACAAGTATAGTCTATCGTGACCTAGACATCCATCAACGTGCTCTCCATTTCTCTTCCTCTTTGCAACCACAAGCAGTGACCGGACTTGACAGCTCTCACACCCAACGGCAAGGCTGCTGCAACTGAGAGACTGTGAGAACAGTGGCAAGGACAGCAGGCCAAACCCTTCCCTCACCCTGCAGCTGCTTTCCGACCCGATGCAGACCATAGAATCTCATGAGTGGACCAATCCATGTTTACTTGCGCTTTGCAGCACCATGGCATGGCCATTTTTCAGCCCTTTCTACACATTTGATTTGACTATCATAGATGAAAGGCCCTGTACAGAAAGTGACTGCATCAAACGCAGTCTCTAATTTTCTACAGGAACATTTCTTTTGTTGTGTGGCGCGTCCTTTGGACAGCTGGCGCTTCGCCCCGTACGACTTGAGTGCGGAAATGGAAGCCATTGAACTGATGATAGGCAGCAAGCTGCAAGGCACAATTGAGGGCTCCTCCATTTTTGAGGTTAAGTCATAGGTTTGTATGGTCAAAGAGAAAAACATCGTCCGGGATTCCGGCATGTTTGGTTTCATGCTAGTTCCTTTTGAACAAATGACCCGGCAGAAGGGCCCCTGCAGCAAAGTGTTGTTTTCGATGCTGCACACCAGTTCCGAAGATTTGCTGGCAGCGCATCAAACAACCGCACAGTTTGTCAAAGTGCTCCAATTCTCCAAAAGGCGAGTGAACGCGGTGGAGCAAGGAAGCTTCAACTTCAAACATCGAACCGAGTGTAAGTCATTGACCGTGATCATTGCTACAAAGATGTTCTCACGTGCATGGAGGTGTTTGCGCTTTGTGCGGACCATTGTTCTTAATTTGCATCGTCGTCAACCACGCAATGTTGCCAACCAAGGGGTTAGTTCTACGTACATGGCTGTTCCACTTCTTTGAGTGAAGAAGCTGCGGGGCATTGAGCGTGATGTGCTCGAGAGATGTGGCAATCCTTGCTATCGCACTTTGACCAGCAAGACTGGCGCCGAGGATGGAGTTGACAGTGGGTTTCAGTCAGAATAGGTAAGCTGGCGGTGATGGGAGCTAGGCAACAGCTAGGCAGGTCCAGAGCGCCCAGGAGGTGACTGCGGGTTTCAGTCAGAATAGGTAGGCTGATGGTGGGCAACAGCTACTAGGCAGGTCCGGAGTCAAACATCTGAGGGGTTCTTTGCCAGGTACTGTTCATGAAGGAGCAGCAGCATGACTGCCTCATCCTTGGTAGCGGCAGCCTGCTTCGAGGCACGGTGGAATGTCAGGCTTCGAGCAAACCAGCCTGGGGGGATGGCGGCCACGTGCAGCGCAGTGTATTGCCCAATGCGCAAGACCCGCGAGTTGGCGGCTTGGTTGGCCCTACGAGAATGGACCAGATGAATACCCTTCTTCCTCGCCGAAATATTGTTGCAGCACTTTTGTCGGATTGGTGCCTCGTGATTCCTGCTTGGCGCGTCAGAGTCTCATGGTGCATGAGGTTATTCCTAGAATCCATGTGCCTCGCGCACGTTTCGCCATGTCCGCAAGCTTTAGCTTTGACCCCAGAGGGTCAAAGCACCGCAGGCACAACCCTCGCAGATGTGCAGGAGGGCTTCCGCTGAGATGCGGTTGCCGTGCCTGAATTCTCCGCGGTCCTATGTGGCAGTCATGTCATTTGTGTGGGGCGCACAAGAAAAACTAAGGACGCGTTTTGGTTGGACGGCATGGAGCCGGCCGTTTTGTGCGGCGTCCCCGAGTTTTGATGCTGTCCAGGAGGCGGTGAACGGGTGCAGTCCCGGCGATGCTCTGGCGGTGGCATCCGCGGTGGGCCAGAAGGCACAAGTCCAAGACGTTGATGTCGCGCATCATATATCACTTGGTGGTTCCCAGCCGTCCGGTTCCTTGGCTTTTGGCCTTTTAGTGCTTAGTAGGAATTTCCACTTAACCTGGGGACAGCCCAGATAAGCCACACCTTGTTGAGATCAACTTAATCAACCTTACGTGCCAGATTTCGCAAGCAAATACGGCTTAGGTTGAATTTGAGGGGCGCATCGTTAAAAGAAGTTGGATTGCCAATGCCGTATGGCTGATTTCACGTTGATTCCATGTAAAGCCCATCTCAACAGAGTCCCCAGTTTGGACAGCCTAGTAGTTCCTTTGGGGATTTTACATGTCTCCCCTTGCCTCTTGCTTGTTGCCAATTTGCGTGTGAACACCATGGCGGTCAAAGGTTTGCTTCTTGCGCTAGGCGAAGAGCCGACAGGTTCACAAGAAGACGGACAAGGCTTGGCACCGAAAGCACATCCTGGTTAGTATCCTCTTGGCTTCTCCTCAAAACCTTCAAGCCAGTTCAAAAACACTCACCCATTCTTGAAAGCCCCTGAGGACTCAGGACTAGTTTGTCCCACCGACCTTTTGCTTCTCGTGGGGAAAAACACACACACTGCTAATGTTGCCCACTGATCTATGGCCTGGCTATTCATGAGGCGCTCTCCTTGAAGGAAGGACTCCTGACTAAAAAGGCGTTTGGGGCGAATTTGATGTCATGTTGATTATTTGTCTTTAGTCAATCTTTTTGCGTGGGGAAGAACACAGCCCTTTTGACAAGTTTACAAGATATGGCTAGGCAGGCTTAGACCCAGCAAAACCCAGGCTGGAGCACCTTGAACTATCATCTCTCAATTGGTTTCGGTCTTTGTTCAGCCTCCGTTCTTCCCGTAGGCTTGATTGTGGGAATGTCGGTTCGAATCTGCGACATGCGGGCCACGCTGACTGGTGTGTGGTCGGTCGGGGCATCGATCCATGCCGCAGGGACCCCGAGCAGTGATTTGTTTGCCGGGCTTTGAGAGAAACAAAGACTCCACGCTTTGGCACTTTGCCCACGATTTCGGCCTTGTTTTATCCTTTTCCGGGTACATCAAGATCAGCCTTTTGCTGTGAGCCTACCTTTTCTGGAGGTGGCGTTCGAATTGCAACACCATTGGGCCGGTCACCGTGCCACCGCTCTGCCAGAAGCCTTTGAGTGTTGCAGAGGCCTGCTGGGTGCAGTCTGAGCAGGAAGAGAGCGATGCTCGGCATGGGGGATTGAGGTGCTGAGGGACCACCAGTAACATGCCAGCGAGATGGAAGTTGAGCCAAGGACGATCATGGTATTGGAGAAGATTCACTGTTCTTAAGGGACCCTTCTTCGCATGTCGCTGAGGCTATTTTTTGGAAGGTGCGCGGATTTCTTGCCCTTCTTGGACCCTTGCTTACCTTCAGAGCATTGCGTGATGAACTATATATGCCAACTTTCTATTCATGGCGTGTTCCCGTGGGCATGCTTGTTGCCCGAACACAAATGCAGCTCATTTGGGCAAACCATGGTAAACCTCTGGTTTGCGGCTTGTATGGTTAACAATTAGCTGCAAATGTGACCCTGATCATCCATCTGGCACCTTAATAGAAGGTGTTTGCCGCGAATGGTAAGGGCCTGCGGAAGCGCTGCTCGCAGCAGGCCAAAATCCTGAAATCAGTCGTGGCCATTCCCTCCCCCCCCCAGTTCAGGAGTGTTGGCCAATGATCGAGAAAGCGGCCGCAGGGCCAATGCCGCTAACATAAGGCGATACCCAGCGTCCGTGACAAAGACATCAGATATACAGGTGGCACACAGACACACACACACACAGACACAATGGGCAGCAGGACACTGAGCTGTGAGGAAATTCAGGTCACACAACTCTCGAAGGAGAGCTGGATCAGAGGAAGCGCAGCTCTGGCAGATTTTCTTGCTGGTGCGATAGGTAGGGAATGAGGGCATGGAATGACCCCTATAAACCATCCAACTAGTGGTTTCCTTTTAAAGGAATCCCTGGGTTCATTCCCTCATTCCCTACCCATCGCACCAGGAAGTTTTCGTCCCGCGGCGATTCCGAAGTGCACTCAGGAGATCACCTGCTGCGCCGTGCTGGTCACCCGGGAGGATCTGGCAAAAGCGCCGGCGCAGCAAGTGGCGCGGCGGCCCGGGAAGGATGGCCTGCAGAGGGTCAGCCGGGGGTGTCTCAAAGGTGGGATATATATATATATATATATATATTAAATTGAGGTTCTTTCGAAATTTAGGAACTATGCGGAAAATTGGCCCTTGGCACTGGCTTTGACCTGCTCTACACCACGTGTGTGTCTCTTTTGAAAGCACCCGTTTTGGAGTTGCTTTGAAGGGCAGCAACAGGGGAGCCACCTGTTTTGGGTGATTCTCTGTTTGGAGGCAAACCCGAGGCAAGCAAGCGAGTAGCTAAATCAAATCCTCCTTACATTGCATCACGCCAGCAGTCTCCATGACCCTCAAAAAATGGGGCCATCACCCAAAATAACAGGGTCATTGACCCATTTTTGAAGGGTCATGGAGACTCCAGGAACATCAATATCGAGACACCCATTTAGAGCGATAGCAAAGGTAGCACATGGCGAGTTCATGGGCCTAGAAGGTGCTTGGTGGCGCCCACATGGCACTAGTGCGCTCCCTTGCACTGAGCAAACGGAGCATAGGTGTCCCTTTCAGGTGAATTTGGTTAGAAATAGAGGGCACTGGTTTAGATTGGTTTTCTTTCATTGGCCAGGTCCATCTATGTCCATCTATTTCATCAAAAAGACACCTATGAAACGGCGGCTGTGCCAACACCATTACACAACCATCAGCCTTCTTTTCCTGGTTCCTGCTCCTACGGGGCTGTTTCCAGCTCGCGCATTTCATGCATGGATTCGGGCTGATTCGGTGGAACCTCCTTTTGCACTCATATTTTTTGCAGAGAGCAAGAGAGTGAGAGCAGGGTGTTTGTTGCTCGTTTTTGCGGATGCCAAATCACAGACCCAGAATGAAGCATCACGCCAATTTTGCATGTGTGGCTGCTTCTTCAATCCACCAACAGTGGAGGTCCAGCATGTTGACACATTCAGATGGGAGGGCCATGCAAAGACTCGTGCCTGAAAGTTTCTCACGGAAGCGAGCAAATTTGTGTTTCACATTCTTGTTGTGTTTCCATTTAGTCTTAGTGGCAACCTGCTGCATTTGTTTGGTTTGCGCGGAAGCTCTTTGGATGCTTCAGGCTTTCTTGCGTTAGCCTGCGTTTTTCATCGATCTCAATGCAGTTAGCTGGTGGCATCTGCAGAGCTGGTCGACATGCGTTCGGCGCCGCAGCGTTGTCGCGATCAAGGACGCCTATGGTGTCTTTGTAGAGCTCGCCACATGACCCCCATTCAACCAGGCCTGAGCATGTTTCGAGCAGCTCCCAAAACCTGATTGCGGAACCACAGAGATCGCCGTCTGTGTTTATGAACACACCGGGACAAAAAACTGTATCAACATTCTAGCGTATTTGCTCTCAATGCTACCTCAGAAGCTTACTTTGAAGCACTTTTCAAGCTGCCCTCACAGAGTGTCTTCGTCCTTTTTCCATTTCTGGAAGTCGCATAAGACAATGGTGGTGACCGCCCACTCACCCATGAAGTTTTTTTTTTTTTTTTTTTTTTTTTAAAATAGGCAGCCATTGTGATATACGTGTACTCGTATGTAGATAATATATACATTACCTACACGTACAGCATATACCCAGCGCCAGCTGAGGCAAAGAAGCAGCGCCTGGCTGCGGAGGTGAAGCCTACGGCCAGGGGGCTCGAGGGCTCGAGGGGTTGGTGGCTGGGTTGGTCGATCTTAGGTTCGAGGGGCGAATGTCCTGGTGATAAATTATGATGTTGTCATGATGAATAAAACTAAAGGAACAACTATGTGTCTTCATTGTCATGGGTGCTTTGTTTGCAAGGCGCTTGAACACGAGCCGTGGTTTCACGTATTGGGACAGAGGGTAGAAGAATGTTCTCGCTTGTCATGGGCAAGTGCATGCAGAACAGGTACTCTGAAGCTTGACCAATAAACGCCGTGTGATCCTTCTCTTTCTCTTTCTCGTGGGCATGCCCTAAAATTAGGGGCCCCTTCCTTTTTGGTTGAACTTGAAAGTCCCTATTGTTGTCAAACTCCCGGCTCAGCCTCGGAGTCCCCGAAACCAAGGCGTCTTTGGCCGAAGCGGCTGAGAAGGCCCAAGAAAAGAGATGGGAGATCCGTGACCGCAGCGACAACATGGCGATAGGCACTCTCGGGGCGCCTGTGTTGCAAGCCACGGATCTGTTAATTGACTCGGGTTTTCACTACCCTCACGCCACCCGGGATAAATGGGGGTATAACTTCATTGAATGGACATAGTATGGGGTTCCGTATGGATGAGGCAACCCTCCAAGAGTGGCCTAAAGGAACAGAAGAACATGTTTGTGACCATTTGTCCTATAGGGTGAGTCATTGCTTAATGCGTGTATGTATCCGTATGTGCAAGGTTGAGTCGTTTCTGAAATTGGCTACCAGCAGACTCCTGTATTAGCTTGCTATTTGGTTGCTTTGGTTGAATTGTGTTTGTCATCCCTAACGCCTTCTGTCGAACAAAACACTCTTGCACGTGGAACGACTACACCAGTAGCAAGCATTGTCCATTTGAATCCTGTACGTGGAGTAGCAAACACTTGCCCACTTGTGGACATTGCAATGGTCGCCTGGCTCCTCGCCTCCCATAGCTGCTGTGAGGTTCACAATGGCCAGAGTTGCAAGGTAGCTTACATTTTCCAGGGGTTCTGGTGACAGTCCGCATGTAAATTTATCCGCGGTCATGAGGGGAAAACCAAAGGGGGAAGGCCATCGTTCCATTCAATGTGAACAGGTCCATCCTTTCTCGTGAGGACACCTAGGTGGTGTGGGTGCTTTATGACCTTACATAAACTCATGGGATATTCTGATTGGACTTATGGGTGTTTCCAAGCAAATTAAACATAGGGGGCCCACAAGACTGATTGATTTACTCGTGCTTTCTCTTCAACCATCCAAGGGGTGGGACCCGGATGTGAACCGGGATACCCCCGCTTGCTGGCAATCTGGACCTGAAGCGGGAGGTCCGCAATTTCTAGTTTTTCTTGGACCCAAAAAAAGCAGCAGTTTCGAATTGAGCCGGACATTTCACTGACCGCTGAGGGGTCCCCTTCAAGATGCGGTCTGAAGGTAACGCCGAAGCCACCGGACTTGAGGGCTCCATGCCGATCTTTTTTCTCTTCGAACGCCCGGGCTTTTTTGCGCGGTTTTTCTTTGGGCAACCAACAAGACTCCACCCATCTTTGAGGGGTCCCCTACATTTTTTTGGTTTCGGTTCAAGGCAGCGAACAGCGGGTTTGCAAGGAAGTCCTACCCGTCACGTCTCTCGGTTTGCAGGGCCCACAGAGCAGAGCGGCCAAGCACCGGAGCTCATACAAGAGGCCGGCCTGTGCTGGACCCCGATGGTTTCCAACCGGTTCGGCCGGTGACCAACCAGTTGTTTGAGCCAGCTGCAAAGCCACTTTTGACCCATTTTTTTTGCGTGAACCTCCGGGTTTTTCCAGGCGTTTGGAGCAAGTGAGATGGAGGGAGCCCAACACTGAAGCCGATTCAGGACTTTGCAGCGCAATTTTCAGACGGAACAAACGAAAGCTCCTTGGGATAGACTCCTCTTGACCAGGTGTTGTTTCGGGCTCAGCCACTCTCCAACCGGCAAGAGAATGGGCAGTCAGGCCTCACCAAGTATCAACACGTGACCTGAATTGAACCTACATGTGTACAAGTACAATTGCCTGATAAGTCATTTTGCCATTAACAGGGGGAGAACCAATTGAGGACTGCAGTCTCGCATCAGGAGTTGAACGCAATGCATTTGACCAGTTCGAGCTTCTTCCGGACTCAACCAGCGCTCTGCACACTTGCTCACAGTGCCTGAAATGTGAACGATCTGGAGGTGTACATCAGGGCCACTTGCTATTTGGACGCCTTACCTCCCATTCAGCCTGGCCCTTTGGGAGTAGCCAGAGCAAGTTTCACGGTTTCCTCCAGAGCCCGCTTCATGAAGGATGCAAAGGTTAGCCTCCCAGGTATCAGGCTTTTCTTCAGCGATCTAGTTTTGATCCCTATATTCAGGTTGGAGACAAGCAGGTTGCCTTGCCCTGCTCAGAAAGCACGACTTTCAAGCAGCACGTTTTTGCACGGGCCTTGTTTCACTCCCTGTGGCAAGTGTGGACCGGACGTTCCGGCCAGGAAGGCAAAGTGATCGACATCAGGGAACTGGTGCCTCGGCCCTTGTCAAACTGAAGAGCGGAACCAGCCAAAAGTAGATAAATGCCACACTGAAAAAGAGAACTACCACTGAAAATCCCGGAGGTGCAACTGAATCAGAAGTGGACATCAGAGACGGTCAAATGAGTCATTACTGTATTGGACAGCCAACAGAAGGGTTCTTACGAGTATCGACGGGACCGGGACCCTGACCCCCTTGCTTGCATATTTGATGGGCGACTTTAGTTGTATCTGGAGAATACTTGGGAAGCTTGCGGGGGAAGCTTGCGAAGGGACGCACAAATTTATCCGTGTCCATTTGGAAAAAAAAAACATAGCTTATGCAAAGATGCGAGAAGCAGGGTGTGCCTTTCCTCTGCTGTCTTTTTTGGCCAGCCTGGTGATGCTTCAGCTCCGAGGTGCTCTCAGGTGTTGGTAGGCCTGCTTTGAAAGTTGCGACAGCACGGATCTGAAGTAACCCTTTGGTCCAGGATGACCACTTTCCCAGGCCCTGCGATCCAAAGACAGCTGTTGTTTTTTCATACGTGGATGACACTCTTTGTAGTGACTGGTGGGCTTACCTTTGTTTCCTCAAACAACCCCCACACCATCCTCAAAGAACACCAGTGTTTCCTCGTCAACTTTGGTAGTGAACGCCAACACCACCTCAATCAACACCCACACAAGGCAGGAGGCCCAAGCCTTCAGCGCTGAGGATGGCACGTCGCAGTGGCGCATGAAGAATTACGGCACTGCCCACTTCCGAGGCATCTGGAACTCGGGCTGAGCTGAACCTGGTGAACCTGACATATGGGCATGGGTCACAATGAAGCCGGCAGAAAAAGAAGAAAACCAACCATAAGAAAACAAACCTGCAGGTTTGAATGTCCCTTCCATCTACCAATTCAACCCATGTTGGGGTTGCCCACACCATGCTCAAAATCGACAAGCCACCGGCACGGAGAGGTGCAGTGCGATAGGTAGGGAATGACCGTTCCGGTTGTTGGCCATGAAACGGTTTTGGGGATTCCCTTAAAGGAACCATAGGGGCTGGTTATTGGGGGTCATTGCATTTCTCATTCCCTGCCGAGAACCAGCAAGTAAGGGATTCCTGAATTCTGTTTGCAAATTGCCGTGCCTACAAATAAGTAGGGCAGGCTGAGGCTAAAGACATCGGAGGTAGTGTATTACTCCAAGTTCATCAGTGTCTTTAAACTGTTTAAGGTTGTTTGGCGCTGGCCGGGCCAGGCTGTTCGGCTCCGGAGGTAGCATACAAGACGAGGGCACTGTATAAAAAGGTGTGCAGATAGATCAAGACGCCAAGACATGTGCTAGTCGTGAACAAGAAACAGGGCATGTCGCCTCAACACACGACTCTGAGTCTGTGGCCGCTTTGATGTTTTTTTGCCATGCAGCCTGAAATTGACTTGTTTAAGTTGGTTAGCCCCAGAATTGCCTAGGCAGCGAAACCTGCAGCAAGCTGTTGGCTTGCTTGTCTTTCTACCAAGCACTGGGATGCAGTTGGTGGCTTCCTCCTTGCCTTCTTTTATCGGGCACTGGAAGGCCACAGCCAGAGAGCCAGATGTGGCAGCTGTTCATTAGGCTTGCTGCAGGACGTTTTGTTTGGTATGATGCGTTCCATAAAAAATGCCACAAGCCTTCTCTTGAGGCATGGCATGCATCGCCTTTTTCAGATCTCCAGCTTGCGACTTGTCAGTGCCGAGAGGGCCACAGCCAAGAGACGCTCCTTGCCCGCTAGGCGGTGAAAACTACAAAGGTGGCGATGAGGAGAAGGGCAAAGGACAGGGCAAAGTAGCCATCTGTTTGGTACCCTCACAATAAACATGGAACCTGACTCCCTTGAAAAGGACACCTTGACCTTCCAGGAACCCAACGTCAGGTTCCATGAAAAGGGTGGGAGGGTTCTGATTTGAAGACCGGCTTTTGCGCCACGTTCTGGTGAGAAGCACGCCTACCAAGAAGAGAACGGGCAACGGCTGCGGCAACGGGCATTCACCATGATGCGAAGAGAACACACTCGAAGGAGCGATTTGGTGGAGTGGAACATGTTTTCACCGATTTGCTAACGTGGCGCATGGCAACGGGGCGTGACGCAGCTTGTAGGAGCTATTTCAAGTGAGGCCGGCCTAATCTCCCACCTTCCCGAGCGGAATTGGCACAGCAGGTGCTTTTCAATACCATGGTGTCTGACTCTGATTGGGCAAACAGCTCTCTGTGCACTGTCCTTTTTGAAGGCTGGTTCGGTTCGCCTTCAGCCGTTTGTTTTCTGTGTCAAGCGGAGGCTGAAGTTCTTCACTAGTTTTCCAAACTCTCATGCGCCATGTTTCAGGACCAATTAGTCGCAGTGCCTCAGTCGCCCCCACATTGTGCAGGAAAGGGCAAGAAGGGCAAAGGCAAAGGAAAGAAGGGCAAAGGAAAGGGCAAAGGCAAAGGCGCGCCAAGTAGCCATGCCAAGTAGCTGGTTGAAGGAGCAGTTTTTGCCCTCCTGGAAAGATTCTGGTGGTGGTTTTGTCGAAGCTCCAATAAACGTGGCATGAACTGGCCACGAAGTAACGCCACAGACTTTTGGGCCGAACGAGTTTGCTCTCCAAAACAAGCAACTCCCTTCAGGCCCGAGAAAGCAGCTCGTTGATTCATGATGCGGTCGAGCCTTGAGTCGTGTCGTTTTTTGTTTTGTTTTTTTTTGTACGAAGCTCATTCCCTGAATATCAGGGTTTGCTCTTGCAGCAGAATGACAGGCAAGGCTTGGTACAATTGGTCGAAATAACTGGGCCCCCCTTACAGCAACACAGAAATGGGAATATACGCAGCAGTGGTTTGCACATGTTTCAACAGGCAGTTGGCCAAGCTCAGTTTCCAGGCAAAGGTAAGAAGAAAGGCAAAGACGAAGGCTCGGATGAGGAGGCACGGCTTGCGGAACGAACGTTCTTCGGGAGTCGGCCGAGCAGCTGGAAGTGCAGCAATGTGATGTCTCGCTGGTCTATGGTTCGTTGTGCAACTGAAACGGTTTATGTGTTGATGCCATGATAGAAGCAAGTAAGATCTCTTGGAAGTTGGTAGTTGTTGGCTGTTGGTTTACTGGGAAGGACATAGCGCCCCCTAATGTTTAGCACGTGGCGAAACGTCTCGAACCAAGCATGCGCTTCGGTGGCCATTTCAGACAGGGGAGACGGTGCCAACAGAAGGGAATTTTGGCACGTTGTCTGGGGCGTCCGAAAAGAGTCGGTTTCAAACAACCGGAGCTTTGCTGCCAGGGCGAGTATGAGGAAGGCGAGTACGAGGAAGGCGAGTACGAGGATGAGGGGGACATCACCGGCGACGAGAAAGGACAGAGCCCAGAGAAGTTTCGTTGTTGGATTGTCGAAAGCCGCTGTTTGCCAACTTCAGTGGCTGGTTGGCATGTACTGTTTGCCCAAAGGAAGCAAGCAGCTCCGCGTTCTTTCCTGTTTGCAAAGTGACTCAAAACGTGTAGACAAGATCATCAAATATAGAAAATCCTTGCCCGAGGTTCGTGGCAGACACGTGAGCGACACAAAGAGTTCCCATTCTTGCGCTGCTCATCCTCAAACGCCTTAAAGGGGTATGGAGGGAAGTCTCGAAGTTTTTGAGATGAGAGTTGGACAGGTTGGAAACTCCCAGGGCTCGCAATCAGGCTTGCATTTAGCCACCTGCTTGAACGTTGAAACCACTGCTCTTTACACATCCTACGGTTTCTTGGTCTTAGTGGGGAATGAGGGAATTCCTTAGTTGGAGGTTGGTAGAATAGTATAACTTATGTGGAAGACACCGTTGTGCTTTCAGTATGAAACTATGGTTGTGGTTTCATTTGCATGTCCTGGACAGACAGATGCTCGTGGATGACAAGGATTATTTCGTTGATCGCGACCAGTGTACTTTGAACAATCATTGGCCGCTCGGTGACCCACATAGCTAGTGATGACGAGAAGCTGTTAAAATCAACGACCCTTTTCAACTTCGGCTAGAAGGATAGCAAAGACAAGCACCCGCTTTACTTGTAAACCGGTATGTTTACGATCTTACAGCCCCAAGCAGTTTTCAGTTAGGCAAATGAATTGGGGTGACGACCGTATCTCCTGTGCCAGAAGCCGGCGATTGAGCTGTGGACGAAAAGCGGTCCGTGCCCGGCATGAGCGGTTTGTTCAGTTGCAGTAAGTGACGA